AAATGGCCAATAAGCACTTGAAAAGATGCTCAACATTGTTATCAGGGAAAAGCAAATTAAAATCATGATGAGTTCCCATTATACATATATTAGAAGGACTAAAATTAAAACAACTGACAATATCAGATATTGGTGAGCGTGTGGAGCAACTAGAATTCATATTTTGTTGGTGGGCGTGTAAAATGGGATGGTAACGTTGAGAACTCTCTGGCAGTTCCTTATAAAGCTAAAACATACACCTACCCATGACCCAGCAATTCGACTTAAAAAGACCTGTACATGAATGTGCATTGCAACTTTACTCAAATAATCCTATGCTAGAAACATCCCAGATTCATCAGTAGGTGTATGAATTACACAATTTTCGATGCAGTGAAACAATGACATACTACTTAGCAGTAAAACAGAATCAATTATTGATACACACAACTAAGTGGTTGAATCACAAAATTATTATGCTGTGTGAAAGAAACCAGACAAAAAAGAGTTCTAACAGTATGTTTCCATTTATATAAATTTCTAGTACAAGCAAACTAATCTCTGGTGATAGAAATCAGAACAATGGTTGATTCTGGATGTGTGTGGAGTACCAACAGGAAGAGAGCATGAGGAAAGTTTCTAGGTGATAGAAATATTCTAGATCTTGATTTGGCTGTTTGCAACTGTCAAAATTCATTGAACTGAGCAGTATAGATCTGCGTATTTTGTTGTATGTAAATTATACATCAAGTTATACAAACAAATGAAAAGGAATAGTACTATGGAGGGAAATTTACATCTAGATATTTATTTTTATTGTTATAAATGTAATACTTTTTTCTATTACTTTTTCTCACTTGTCCAAGCAATTTCATAGTCAAAGTCTGTCAAACTTTTAATAAATAATTCCTTTCAAAATTCCTTGTTGTCAAAACTTGATAAAAGCAGACACAAAGCTGTAAACCGAGCTCATTTTTTAAAATAAATGTAAAAACATGAAATAGTAGAAAATTAAATCCAATAACACTGCACCATGACAAACCAGGATTTATTCCAGGAATAGCAGGAGGAAAAGCATGTGATTACCTGAAAATATGCAAGAAAAGCTTTGGAAAAGGCTGTGACAAAACAGGACATAGACTCACCAGACACCTTGAGGCTGAGTGTCACAATGCACAGGGACGTCGTTGCCACAGGGAAGAGCCTCCCTGTGCACTGTAGAGCAGGGCCAGATGCTCACAAGGCACTGAAGGGGTAAAGGAATGAAGTCAACACTTGGTCTCACTGGAGCCACCAGACACGTGTGACCTCCGCAGCCTGTCTTCCCACAAACTTCTCTACACAGCCACATGCTCCCTTGTACCTTTCTTTTAAAAACTTTCCTAGTGGCTGGGTGTGGTTGTTCACTACTGTAATCCCAGCACTTTGGGAGGCCAAGGTGGGCGGATCACCTGAGGTCAGGAGTTCGAGACCAGCCTGGCCAAAATGGTGAAGCCCTGTCTCTACTAAAAACACACAAAAAATTAGCTGAGTGTGGTGGTGGGTGCCTGTAATCCCAGAAACTCAGGAGGCTGAGGCAGGAGAATCGCTTGAACCTGGTGTGGGGCCGGAGGTTGCAGTGAGCCGAAATTGCGCCACTGCAATCCGGCCTGGGCAACACGAGCAAAACTCTGTTTTAAAAAAATAATAACAATAAAACATAAAAAATAAAAACTGTCCTAGCAGCAGCCAACAATGCTCGAACTCTTGCTCTGGGCCAGGTCCTGCTGCCAGGGTTTTGTGTGGTTCAGTTCATTACATCCACAGAGCCGCTTGCTGGGGTGCCGTCCCTCTCCTGATCACTGGCTGTTGGGAAGTGGGGGCAATGTTTCCAGCGTGACGGGTGTTGTGGCCACCCACGTGGCTGCTTCCTTTTCACCAGCTGAAGGCATTTGGTGGCAACACCACTATTCTAGGCAAGAATTCCTGGGAGCACCCTGCTTGGAGGAACACTGGGAAAGCCTCTAAGTCCTTCAGATAGAGACACTGGAGGGAAGGGAGAGGAGAGGGGCATGGGCATTGGCCACCCCAGCCTGGGCGGCCGCGCTGGGCACCCCTAGGCGCACTTGCTGATGTTGCCCTCACAGCAGCCCACTAAGGTGGGGCTTCAGTTGTCCTCAGTTTCCAGAGTCCTCCAAGTGCTGGGCCCCATGTGTGGCTGGTGACTGGAGTGTTGTTAAAAGGTGTTGGTCTGGGACCATCTGGCCTGCAGTGGGTCTGTGCGAGGATGTGGGCTGTGGATGGTTGAAGACCTTGGTATGAGGGAAGCCGAGGTGTCACGGAGAAGTAGGTGCCTGCCGCTGCCCCCCTGGGGCCCTCTGCTCAGCCTCAGAGCTAGCTGCAGATGAGTGCCAGGTTCAGGGCTTAGTGAGAACACAACTCACTCAGGCCTGTATGCCCCTCTGCACCCCCTGTGGGACGGTGACCAGAGGCAGTGGGGACACACACTTCGGATGTCCAAGAGTGCCCCACCTGCGATTCTCCGACAGGGAGGGCAGCTGGTTTGACTGCTGGCCCACCCCTTATAGCTGTGTGGCTTTGAACAAATCACTCAACCTCTGCCTGCCTCCGTGTCCTCCTTGGGGGTCGAGGATAACAGTAATTGTGCTAGCTAACACTTCTGGAGCTTTGCGTGCCCAGGTGATGTGGTAAGGAGTTATTCCACTATTTTACACATAAGGAAAAAGGGGCTCAGAGAAATCGGGTGCCCTGGACAAGGTTACTCAGCCAAGCCGCGCCAGCACTGTCTGTGCTCCTTGTACTGCAGCAGGGAGGGTGGGAGGGTAGGGAGGAGAACAGGCTCCGTGGAAAGGACAGGCTGCCTAGGGAAAGAGGGGTGGGCATGATTACCTGTGCACCCGAGGGCCGTATCTGAGACCCACTCCAACCCCAGAAAACAGCAGTTCCCCGTCACCCACACAGGTTCCTCTGTCCTTGAACCACACAGGTTCCCTCTGTTTACCCATCCCAGCCTCTTTCAGGGGCTGCCTCTGCATCTCTCACTCCTCCTGCAGTGGGCAGGGCTCCTCCGTGCCCACCAGCCCTGGCACCACGGCAATGAAAGAAAACCCCCAGCCTCCAAATTCTCTATGTGTCCAGACTTATAGCTGTGGCCATAAACAACTGGCTTGAATTGCTCCCAGTGGTTGGAAGTGAATTCAGTTCATCACTAATGGGAGTATCATGAAACTTTATATTACAAATGAAAATAGTAAGGATTTGGAATGCTAGTGGACTTCAACACACAAATCTGCAAGTTGTCGCGTCTTTCCTCACACAGACTTTTAGCATTTTCAGCAGGTGAATTTTTTTCCGTGGACTTCATTTGCTCCGCCGCGCCTTTGATAGAGTTTGTTCTGTGTTTCGTAAAAAAGATACAACTGCTGTTTAGTGACCCAATAGCTCATGGTTAAATTCCAGGCAGGTTTTGTGCCCCTATACACGTTGAAGTAGTCTTAGTTTCACGGTAAAATTCCACCAAGGGCTGTGGCCTGGCACAGGTTAGCGTGGACAGCTGTTCCTACCAGCAGGGATGCTATGGGCCAGCTTTGGGAACTTGTAAACACACTTTTTATCTTTTAGCAGGTGCCTTAATTCACCTTTAGTCAAAAAGCTTCCTGTCAAACCCTTGTTGCCACACTGGAATCTTCCAGAAAGAAGTGTCCTTGGGAGATGAAGAGGGGCACCTATAAGAGTCAGAGAGCGTGAAGCATGGTGATAGCG